TTGATAGTTTTGCCCAGTTTTATATTTCCTTCCTCCACCTCCATCTTCAGTACTGGGGATCAAACTCAGGGCCTCACACATATCATATATTTGCTTTTTTTGAAGAGGCACTGCCAACCTTTTTATGCCAATACCAGAATTTAAGTAATGTTTTAAATAAGCTTCAAGGTTTTAATTTTCTTAAACCTTCATGATTACAACTTTACTATCGAGTAAAAGAGATCATCATGATATGAGTAAAATTGCTTCTAACAAGGCATATATCAGGATGTTAATTGTGACATTATTTGAAAACATAAGAAAAAATAGAAACAACCTCAATGATTCTCAGCAGGGGAATAGTTAAATAAATTATGCTCATCCTGTGAATTGTCAATTAAAAACAATAACATGGTTTTATAATATGAACTATGCATTCTTCTATGGGGAAAAAAGCAAGTGTATATAGTATTATACTATTAATATAGTAAGATCTTATTTTATATATGTATATTTATAAAAGTATTTAAAGAAATGAAGCATGCTTCAATTTTATATAAGTACATGTATATAAATATATAGGAATAAGTCTAGAAGATATAAAGCAACATATAATAGGAACCACCACTGGAGAAGGAGCAGGGATTAAAAGCAGACATAAAGGCTCTTGGCTTTATCTGGTAATATCTTAAATTTTAAATAAAATTAATATATTTATATACAACTGTGTGACAAATAATTTAATATGTGACTTGCCCAAGCTGTCAACTAACTGCCTGCTATTTGAAGAGCCAATATAAAAAGGGTTTCTACCAGCTTCTATACAGATTCAAAAGGATTAAAGAAAACCACTTTGCCTAATAAAATTAAGTTCCATTTTATGGAAGATTTTATTAGGCAAGAAATGCTTGGCATCATTTCTAAAAGTCATGGATTTGTCTCTCCAAATATAATCTCCTCATTCATCCCTTCAATACATGGCTTATATTATTTTGTACTTTTCTCACAGATTTCTTTCCTAGTAAGCCATTTTAGTCTGTCACATTGACTAATATCTTTTAATAACTTTAATAGGCACACTTTAAGACTTCTTCAAGGCCTACACATAAGAACTGCAATGAAAGAAACATTAACAATTACTCTTCATTTTGAAATTTCATCCTGTAAATCAAATTTTTTGTCAAAAAATATTTTACCTAAATCACAATCTTTTTAAATTTCAAAAAGGAAATAGACTTACAGACATTGTGGAAATAAATGAAAACATTATCTTCTAATTGTAGCCTTACACACACAAAATGAAAACTTTAGTTCCTACAGGTATCTCCAGGGTACCTAGTCTGAGATTACTACGAAATGAGTTCTATATTGACTTCTGATAAATATTATCAGGTCACAGGATGGCTTTTTTAGTATTTATTTGTTAGCTGTAGTTGGACACAATATATTTTTTTATGTGGTGCTGAGGATCGAACCTAGGCCTCCCACGTGCTAGGTGAATACTCTACCATTAAGCCACAACCCTAGCCCTTCACAGGATGTTTTTTACTCTCCTGAAATACTATTTCCCCCTCATAATTGTAAAATTATAAAATAAACAATATCTTCTATTTTTACTGAGTGACCAAGGAAGAATTTATTAGTGTTGCTTCAAGGAGTCCCTTTTGAAGAGTTTTCTTTCAGACTTCTCTGCTGAAACACACACACACCCCTACACGTGCTAATTTAATTAAAGTCATCAAGTGCATCAATAGAAAAAGTCTCTACAACTTCTTATTCTTTACATCTCTCTTTTCACTGAATCATGCCTGCACACCACTGCAGATATTCAGACTACATTACTTTAATTTCATTTTAGGTCAGTTGTCCATTGCTTCCCACCTTTGATCAATTACTTCAAGATTCATCTTGGTGTTTTCCCTAATTTAATGAATCCTAAGCATTGCTCTAAACCACTACTTGAGTTCAAATAATAACCACTTTATATGTAATTTATTTCCTTTTTCTATAGTTTCTATTGCATTTAAGACTCAAGAAACATTCCTGGAAACTAGATGAGATAAATATTATCTCCATTTTTAAGATGAGAATAATAAGACACAAAAAGGTTAAGACATACTAGAGATTGATTTAATTGAATGACCCTAAACCCTGCTCATTCTTTGCAGCTGTATTCGTACATAATAAGCAGCATTTCCCAAGTATTATGCCCCCAATATCACCAAAATGATCTCGATATTTCCCTAAAATAGAGAGAAGGAGAATACCCTGAGGCTGGAAAGATAACAAATAGGGACATTTTGTAAAGGACTGACAAAGGGCATAGGAATATTATAAGCTGCGTTCTGTCACTGAGGGCATGTATGTCAACAAGTAGCAGATATATAGAAAAATCAAGGAATAAAATAATTTGAGTAGAAGAGTGTTGAGTATGAAAAAAAATGTTTCCAGTTCTAGAATTGCTACTACGCAATTTGGTTTTATTTTAATTTTAGTCCCGAAGGAGCAGAGACACAAATTTCAATGGGTCAACACCAACCATCTCTCATCACTTCCATTGCTGTGACAAGTATTCAAATGAAGTAATGAAGGAATCAGAAACATCCTTGAGAAACTTGGAAGGGGGTGCAAAATTTAGGAAGATGGAAAAAACTAGGTTGCCAGTACAACTTGCTCCAGAATAAGCAGGTGAATGAAACACATACATGCAAGAACAATAATTGAAATTATTAAGCAAGCAGGATTAACAGTATATCCATTAGAAACTATTTGTAGTCAGGAGGGTCCAGAGATGGTGGATGCTACTGATGAGCAGTATTAAAATATGTTTCCCACACTCTATTTCCTTATCCATCTCCCTAAACTGCAAAAGGTAAAAAGAGACAATTATTACTTTTTATTATTAGTTCTTTTCCATTGAACTAACAACTGAAACCTAAAAGAAAAGGAAACATTATATACAAAAATTTTCCTGTCTTTCAAATTACCCATCTTCTTTTTTCTCTAAGATTCTTGCTTAATCTTTTAGAGTAAAAACACTAAGAATCAAGGAGAAAATTGAAGAATGGTAAGAGACACATATTCTAATAATGTCCCTGAACATTATGTAATTCCAAAGAAGTCTATGATCATGATTATCTTACTCAGTTTGAACTGCTACAACAAAGCACAATGGTCTCTCTTAACCATGAGGGATACATTATAAGATACCCTTCCCCATGGATGCCCTAAACCACAGACAACAATGAACTCTATATAAACTGTTTCTTCCTATACATATACGCCTAAGATAAAGTTTAAGTTATAAATTAGGCATAGTAAAAGACTGATAATAACAACTTAGAATAGAGCAATAATATAACTATATTACCATAAAATGTAGTGTCTGTCTGTCTGTCTCTATCTTGTAATTCCTCGTTATACTATGGTATTAATTTCAGATTACAGATGACCACAGGTAAATGAAACCATAAAAACTAAACTGCTGCTAAAAAGGCACTTCTACATCACAGACTAGGTGGTTTTATAAACAACAGATATTTATTTCCCAGAGTACTGGAGGTTGGAAGTCTGAGATTAGGGTACCAGTATGGTTGGTTCCAGTGAAGGCATTTTTCTAGTCTACAGAGTTCTCACTGTATCTTCATATGGTAGACAAGAGAGCTAGAGGGCGGTCTAGGGTTCCTTTTATACAGGCACTAATTGTATTCATGAGGGCTCCAATCCTATCATCTATTAACCTCCCAAAAGCCCCATACCTCCTAAAACCAACACAGGATTAGGGTTTCAAAATATAATTGGGATTTCAATATATGAATTTGAGGGATACACATTCAGCCCATAATAATGGTTATTAAATAAATTCTAGATTCAAAGAGAATCCATCTATTCGTAATATATTTTCCCATTTCCCAAATAGTTTTTAAATTAAAATATCTGGCAAAACAAGGGGAAAAGATAATTCTCCAGCAATCACTATAGCAGGTCCTCCCTTATCCAGTTTCATTTACCCATGATCAATTATGGTCCAAAAATATTAAATGGAAAATCCCTGAGAAAAACAATGCACAAGTCAGTCTTAAATTACATACCATTTGAGTTACATGATGAAATCTCACACTAATCTGCTCAGTTCAGCCTGGGACATGAAATGTGCCTTTATCAAGTATATCTATATTGCTAAATACTACCAGCATATTAGTCACTTAGACATCATAGTTACTAGATTGACTACTTAATATTGCAGTGCTTGTATTCAAGTAACCCTTATTTTATTAACAATGGCCCCCAAAGCATAAAAGGAGTGTTGCTGGCAATGTAGTTAGACCAAAGAAAAACAATGAAGTGCTTCCCTTAAGTAGAAGGTAGACGTTCTGGACTTATTAAGCAATTTAAAAACTTCCTATGCTGAGATTGCTAAAATATACGGTAAGAACAAACCTTCTACCTGTGAAAATGTGAGAAAGGAAAAATAAATTTGTATTAGTTTTGCAAAAGCAACTATAAAAGTAATGACATAATGCATGATTAAAGTGGTAAAGATAAACTAAACTTATCTATTTCTGCTTTCATTTAAAAAATCCTCTAAAATGCAATAAATACTTGTATATGTGTGTGTGTATTATTTTATAAGGCATAAATTTATAAAGATGGGGATAAAAAAAGAGAAAAATTCTTTGGGAAGCTATAAAACATAAAGACAAAGGAGTTACTGACTTACAAAGACCCAAAGAGACAAACTCTAAACCACTTCATCTATACAAAAAAATCTTTCAAAGCTCAGGAATTTGCAGCAGAAGTACCAAAGGTGAGGGAAAGGACAAGAAGGAGATTGGGATAAAAAAACTATTTCCATGTGTACACCTGTTCCCACTTTCACTCTTTCTGCCCTTTACCCTCTACCACAGAGAAATGAAAACTAGAAGGTTATTTTCTTGGAAGACTAAGATATGTTACTGAACCAAAGACAATGAAAGTATATGAAAAATGGGATTATTAAGTGCCAAGACAAACCCTGTTACCTGATTCTTCCTGTAGACTACCAGAAGTCTTTAGTCAGCCTGGTCTTTACTTTCTAGGCATATGTGAAGTCTTCTCTAGAGAATATGATTAGTTGACAGAAAAGACACAGGCATGAAGATCAGGTTTACTCTAAACAATCCAGCTACAGTGAAGCTCAATATGCATTCAGAGCCTCCGGACTTTACCGTATTACTTTCAACAAGGAGCGAAAAACCTTGGGATATTAGGTGAAGTCTGCAGAGGTCCTACCTGGTGAAAACACAGATTGTATCTTATCTAAAATGAACAGATTATTTCGGCTTTAACTCCACATTTCTACTATGATTTTCTGTTTATAAGAAACATAAGCAATATGTAATTTGTTCACACTATGGAAAGAGCACTCTAAATAGATGAAATCATAATTGAACAATGGTACTATTTTAATATCTTTTTCTCACTGCAACAACTGGATATCCTTGCCAGGCTTCATTTTTGGCAATTAAAGATATATGGTACCATGTTTTGGAAAATATTGGGAACATAAACTAAAATTTAATAATCTGTATCTTTCAAAAACCTGTAAAAGGTTGCATACAAATACTATTTTCAAATATTACAGAATATTTTACAGGTTGGTTTCTATAATTATACTTTTAGCAGAACTCCTTTTATATACTTTGATTTGAGAAAACAGCATTAATAGCATATTTTACATTTAGACTCACTGAAAATATTTGCCTGGTGGCTTAGCGACAGTTTGCCTGTACACACTCAACATGGGTAGGCCTGGAAACAAAAATGAGGAAATCATCTCACCTTGCCTCTTATTTCCACACCCCTTTTCTCCAGGTCTGTACTTTCCTTCTATTCTAATTCCCAAGTGTTTTTGTTTTCTTTTGTTTTTGTTTTCAATATTTGCAAACTGTCATGGTTCTAAAAAAAAAAAAATCAGCAAGGCTTTAAACATAGCAACACAATTCTATGCTTTCCTTTTTTGGGTTCTCTTATACCCCACTGTTTAAACATTGTCCACACTAAATTAACAGATTTTGATAAAAGGGAAAGAAAAGGCAAAAGGAGGTTATACTTTATGATTTATTGACCTTCCCTTCCACTTGTAGAATTAAATACATCAGCACAATAACTTACCTTGTTTCTTCAAATCTCAGAAGGAAATCTGCTGCCATCTTCCTGATACCTATGCAACGGAGTTATGTCCCTTCTGCCCACTGTGGGACCATGATCCATGAGTTATTCCTCTTTTGTAACTTTAATATCTCTTCTTCATCTGATACTTCAACATCTATAAATGTAAACATCTTCCCCATCTTATGTAATTATTTTTTAAAATCTAGATTTTGAACCCCACTTCTCTTTGAAGTTATATCTGACATATCCCTCCTTTGTCCCACCACTACAAGCTTCTCTACAGAGGAGCCTGCACTGTGCATAGACATCTCTTCATTCTCCTCTCAGCTACTGCTCTCTGCAAACTTCTCGAATAAGATTAAGAATGGCCTGACAAGCCAATCACAACTTCTGACCTTGTCCTGCTTGAGGGCATCACTATTGAGGCATCCCTCAGGTTTCACTGTTCTCATGAAAGATTTTATTTACTTCTGGAGTTTCAACTAGTTTCTATCTGATGATTTCTACATATTAGCTACAGCACTCACCTTTCTCCAACTGCCTTCTTAATGTAGTTCCCCTGGAGTCCCACAGATGGTGACTTTAATTTAGCATTTTCAAAACTACTCACCCACCCAAGCAAGCCTACATACCCCCATAGCTTTTGCCTCTCATGTGTATTATGACATCACCATCTGCTTATTCTCTCCAAAGCTTATAAGCCCAGAATTATCCAATATTTTTGTTCTCTCAAACCTTTAGATATTTAATTCTTCTCCAAATCTTTTCCAGCTTCACAAAACTCTCAGTCATCTCCTTACAATTTCCACTCTGTCCTTTTGTTAAAAGTTTTTATTCTTTGGGCTAAAAGTTTTTGTTAAAAAGTTTTTATTTTCTTTGGCCTAAAATTTAAAAAGTCTCTTAACTACTCTCCCCTCACTCTTCCCCACCATAGTCCATGCTCCACACTATGTCCAGAAGTACAGTATGGTATAAAGTGTAGTGCTCAGACAGAAGGAACAACAACAACAACAAAAAAAAGCTAGATCTACAGAGATTCTTTTTTAAAACAGGGCTTAAGTAGTGCTATTTCTAATGTGTTCTCACAACAAAGTGACCCTACTTGGAAGAAGCTTTTATTGACCTAACCTTTAATTAACAAAGCTTCATTATCTTATTATAAGAAAATATGTAGTGCTATAATTGAATAATCAGAACTCTCTGAAAGTGTTTTTATATATCTAATAAGTACTAATAAACATAAAATAGTACATAGGATAACTGCCACATTAAATACACAAATTTGAATATTTTTAGTATTTCAAACTATATAATTTTTAGATAATGAATTTCATTGACAGTTTATATTCAAGATTACATTTCCTTTATACAAGCACTTACACTAGATTCATATCATATCCAATGATAAACTTGTTCTTAAATTCAGTCATGATGGAGGTGACTCCCTCACCTATCCACTGCTATCGAATATTCTAAGCCACCATCATCTCTGCTGAAGTCCTCACCAGACCTGTTTCCTTCCTTTCAGTCTAGTTTTCAACAGAACTCTTCACAGGGTTCCTAGAGTTATCATGTCAAAACATAAAACAGATTTTGTTACCCTCCTGCTGAAACAATCCAAAGGCTTCCAACAGTACTTGGAGGAATAACCACACCCTTGTCCACGGCCTGCCAGAGCCCTGGAGATTTGGCACCCCATCTGTGGACCTCTGCGAGTTCATTTTCTACAACTCCCTCCCCCTTGTCCGCTCATCTCCAGTCACACTGACCTCCTTTCTCTTCATCAAAAGTATCCAGTTCATTCCCTTTCCCCAATCCCCATCTTTACCATTTCCTTTCTTACTGTTTGAAATCTCTTCCAGAGAGTCACATGTATATTGTTATTCTTTTTATTCTCAGAATAAATGTCATCTCCCTAGAAAGTAAAGTCAAAAACCAACTAAACCAGCCCCACCTCACACACAGCCTGATACTCTCCATCCTCTTAGTTTCATTTTCATCATTGTCCTCATCTGAAATTTACTCTGCTTGTTGTCTCTTTCTCTTCACTAGAGATTCACTTATGCTTCTGTCTCCTCTCGCACCAGGACAGTGACCTGATACACAACAGAAATTCAGATATTTACCAGTGTCTAATGCCTCTCAAGCTAAGCTTCAGCTCATATTTCCTTGCCCACATCTCCAAAAAAAGTCTCATTGGCACCATACACTCAACATTTCCAAAACTTATCACATTACAAATCTAATCTTTCTCGATATTCCCTCTCTTAATAATATCATCCAGCTGTTCAATTTCCCATATTCCCTCTAATCTGCCAACTAGATCTTTCATTTTGACATCTCATACATTGTTCAAATAACATCCCCTTTTCTCTATCTCCACTATCTATGCATTAGTTCATATTCTTATCTCTCACATTTAAACCTAAAACCTATTACCTTTTCTTACTTCACCTATACCTCTTATTATTTGAATATGGCTTGCTCTTCCAAAACTCATACTGGAGTCTAATCCCCATTGTGAGATATTAAGACTATGGAAATTTAATTCAACTATCATTTTAGAAGTACAATCTTTGGGAGGTGATTAAGATTACATAAAGTCATCAAGGTGAAGCTCATGAGTGAATATTGGTAGCTTTATAAGAAGTGGAAGAGAGACCAGAATACACACATGACATGATCCCTGCTGTGTGATAACTGACACTATTCCTGGGCCTCTGCCAACAAACAAGCCATCAGCAGATGTGGTCTTAGACTTTCAGAAACACAAACAGACCACCCCCACACACCAACTAAAAATTTAAAAACCCTCTTTTAAAATTTACTCAGTATGTTATTAGA